TCTAGCGCGAGTTTGTTGCGCATTTAAACGATGTGTTCTTGAAACCTTATACGCGATTTCGGTTATCTTTTATGCGTTATAGCGCTGTGTCGGTCGTGGCAGGGCCGAGTCGTTTCCACGGCGCATTTAGTGACGCAAACCGAATTGCGTTTAAAGCGCATCCCCGACCGCTGGGATTCCCGGCGAAAGGCGAGATCGCGTGATCCGCGAAGCGCGAGCGATCGTGTGCGCGGAAATTCGAGTGTGAGTGCGTGTAAGCGTGAATGTGAGCGTTTGAATTTTTAAAATAAATATTATAAACATTTCACTGAATAAAGGCTAGTTCTTTTGCGGACCTCACAAAAGTCGCGTGCGCTCACATTCCGAACGGCGTAAAACGAGAATATCGTCAACTGCCGCCAACCAGAAGGAAGGACGAGGATCCGGTAAACCTGGGCGGGTGATCCGAGGTAAACTACCTTCCCTGTTGAGGGTCAAACAGGGTGGCGACCGCAGTAAGTCTAACATTTACCTAAGACGAGAAGGGTAAGGCTCATTGTCGTTGTACGAACGTACTTAGGTCAGTCTCGTTTGGATAGAATATCTAAAATAAAATTGGCACTTAGAGTCGGCATATCAAGAACCGTGCGGGCGTACGATAAGTGCGCTGACGAAAGGGGTCTTCGGGGAAAAAGGTCCGATGGTCATATCAAGAGATTAACTTATTGTCGATTTCATATAAACGGGCACTGATTCCGGTTACAACGTAACGTGTAGTCGGTATCACTCTTTTTATCGAACTCTGCCTAGTGCCCGATTAGGCAGCTCCTTATATAGGATTTTCCCGGTATCCTATTTCCCTCTCGATGGTCCGCGATCGGACCATATTTGGGCATGGGAAGTCCGGTGTCGTCTTCCCATGCGACCTTTGATTTACGCTCGCGAGGAATTCGCGAGCTTGCATTTTTGCATTTCCGCTCGCTGCTGTGCGTTGCCGAAATGCAAGATTTATCGCGCGCGATAGCCTTTGGGCTATAACAAAGTTTATCTTTTGTTTATGTTAACTTTGAGAATATGTGTTTCGAAAGCGCGTTGAACGTACTGGTGACATTGATCACAACTAATCTATTAATTTTATGTTTAGAAGAGAGTGCCATAATATATTTTATTTTCATATGTATTGTGATGTTTCTTATCGAATTGGCAAAAACAGATTAAGTAAAGAATATAAGTATGCATGAAAGAAAGTGAAAGATGAATAAAAACCGATAAGATATAATTACCGATTGTTAAAACCCATAACTTTCCTCGTGATCCTCAGGAAAAGATAAATTAAAGCAAAAGAGCCATAAGAAGGCCACAAATAACGTTAAAATAGATCAAAAAGGCATTTCAGCCATAAGAGACGTAAAGTCTGTTTAATTCAGTGGATTTCTATTCATTTGAGCCACAAGTTTTGAGTTATTTGGTTATTATTACAATATTAATCAGTAGAGCCATAAGATATTTCATTTTAGCGATAAAAGTCGCATATTTCTTGGTTTCCAATCATTTGAGTCATAAGCTCTGTTAAAATAGATAATTAATTCATTTCGAGTAAATTCAACCACGAGCTTCGTGGAAATAACGAATCTCATTGTTAACAATTAATATAAAAGTCAATTTAGCCACAAGGCAGTAAAAATATCACATTCCATAAGTTTCTCGCATAAGCGAAGAAAAATAGCCATGAGATTCGTGTCTGACGTTTAAAGATAAGTTTTCGACAATAAATAGCCACAAAAAGGCATTATTTAGTTTATTCCGTTAAGAAGATCCTAAACCCTAGATCAAACTCCAAAAATCCGCTGTTTTACCGACAATTTGTGAGTATGTATGCGTGCGATATTGATGTAGTAGTGTGTAGTGATGTGTCATGTTTATTGCCACATCAATATATCTCACGCATACATATACACTAATTTGTAGGATACAAATGTATTTATATTTAGGCTTCTAAATTTGATTTTAACGACTCACCTATATTCATTTCTTTATTGTACATCTGGTTCTGCCTTCATTTCGAGCATATAACCTGCCTAACTATTTCACG